AGCCAATGATTCTAATAATTAGCACTCACACAGTGCTTATTACATGCTAGGCACTGTTCCAGTGTAATAAGAAACCTAATGGTGTTTTGGACCAGAGATTGATATGATATAGGCAACATTTTGGTAATAGAAATGACATGCAGGAGTGGCTATCATTTACTGAAAGTCTGTTAGGTACTGAATTACATGCCCTATATACCATATCACTGGTACCCCACTACAAGGTAGATATTGTCCACATTTAATAGGTGAAGAAACAGAATAAGGGAAACTTAAAATTTGCCTGAAGGCATAGACGTGGAAAAGTATAAGCCTAGAATTTGAACAGGAATTTGGACATAAATATGTTTTACTAAAAACTTTCTTCACAATAAAAACACATTGGGAGGCAATTAAATATTGGAAATTGGGCTCTGTAGTTAGATTATCTGGATTTGAATCCCAATTTCATTAGTAGCTCTGTGAACTTGGGCATTCTTCTTATTTACTTTTGGAGGTTTCAAGTTTCCTCGTCTGGAAAAGGGGATAGGAACCTCAAGGTTATCGTAAGGAAAGAGTCCATGTTGAACGCTCAACATAGTGTCTGGCACACAGTCAGTATGTGGTATTTCATTATTATTTTATTATTAGTAGTAGTAATAGTAGTAGGGGTATTTTAGATGGCACTTACTAGAATAAAATGGAGAAGAGGTAAAAGTGGGTAAAATCCACTTTCTTCTTAGTCATCCTTAACACCCAGCCAGTCATTATGGCCTATTATTTCTGATTCCTAATTATTTCTTAGAGCTACACCCTCTATTCTATCCTGACACCTACCTATTCCAATTAAGGTCTTCATCATCTCTTTCCTAGGCTATTAAAATTGTCTGCATAAAGGACCCCTTACCTACAACTCAGCTCCATCTAGAAGTTGTTGCAATGATCAGAAGGTGACGGAACTTAGGGAAAAGTAGAGATAGTAGTACAGAATATAAACATTTTACTTATTATGAGAAATACAGGAAGATGTTCTTATTACCTTCTTATTCTCTGTTTATTACATTGACTGAATGGGAACAGTATATTATATTTACTTTACCAATATTTCAGGTCCTGGATAGAATAGTACTAACACATCAAAGGATTTTTATGACTTGCTCGACTGCTAAATAGCCACTTCTTACATTGAAAAATATTTTAAGAATTTAAACATCGATTTCTAAGATAGCAATGTTTAGAAAAACATTATTTAAAAGCAAGAATTTAAAAGCAAAAAAATAAAAATAAAGGTGCCTCTCATATGAATGAACATTATGTGAAGCCGTGTTTCCCATGGGTTCCTAACAATTCAGGCATTTAAAAAACTAGTAATTAAGTTGTAATTTATCTGGCATAAACAATTATAAGTACGTACTATGATAATTCTAGAAAGGTCTTAAAAAGCAGACAGAAACCTAAAGCAGTTAAATCAGAAACTTTTTAACATAGTCTGTGGCTAAGAAGAACATTTTTAGAAATTTCTTTTACTACCACATGACCTGTATTAGAAAACCTCTTTATAAAAAATCTACAGAAAAATTTTGACCAAAAAAAAAAAA